TGTTTTAAATTTGCAATCCTTAGCTATAAAAACTGAACATTTTATAATTTATTAATTACAATGATTGATATCGTAATTTTCGAGATTTTGATAAATTTTTGTCAAAATTCGATCTTTAAATGCTTAAAAAAAAAAATTGTGCCTATGTATTTTTAATATTTTTCAATTGTTATTGTAACAATATATCAGGAGGCTTGTATTACATTTTTACACTTTTTGGCCCAACAGATAAAAGTTTATTGATATTTATAGAAAAAAAAACTAAAAGATTTGGAGACTGAAAATGTCCGTAAACAGTTCAAAAAGAATCAAAATATTTTCAAAATTGTATGGTGTATAGGCAATGCTAATATAAACATTCAGTGAAATTTTCATGTATTTACAGTTATTCGTTTTGAAATAACAACAAAATAAGGAAATTGCTATAAGAGAAATCGAAGATTATAAGTGTTTTGCCGCTAGCAAATATACCTATAATTTGGTATTAATTGTACTTTTCTTTTGTTATATTATGAAGTACCTATTGATAAGTTACTTAACTGATATTGGTTTATTGTGAAGTGTAAGTATGAGTTTATCTTCCTCATAGCTGAAAAGCATTGATTTGATATGACATAGGTAATCGGCCAAGTAATAGCTACCTACTTGTACCATTATATACACATTTTGTAAAATTGATGTACGTTATCGCCTATAAAATTTTTGAACACCAACATTTCACTTTTCAGATAATTTATGCTAATGTTTAATGCAAAAATAAAAATAAAAAATAAATACATGCATACAGCTAATGATATTTACCATATTTATTATAGGCAATATAAAATAAATATAAACTTTGAACAAAATTAAATAAAATAATTTTTTCCAAAAAAAATAAAATACTTAGGTAGAGTAAAAGGTTTATTAATATTTTAGGAAATTATTGAATAATTGTTTTTTTTTTTTTGAGGGGGGAGGGCTAAGAGCTGTTCTACTTATGATTATAAGTTATAAGTTAGTACCTAAATGCAAAAAAATATTTTTGAAAGCTCCTTCGAAAGTTCAAATTTTTAAAGAGCATGCTCCTAATATTCCATTACCCCCACAACCTGTGCTAACTAGGTGGGGAACATGGTTAACGGCAGCCTTTTATTATTGTGAACATTTTGGTACAATTAAAAATATAATCATGAAACTGGACAAAAATGATTCTACTTCCATTGAAAAAGTAATTGATCTGTTCGCCGATCCAGGTTTAGAATTAAATTTGGTTTATATCAAATCAAACTTTGGATTGCTACCAAATTCAATCAAATGATTAGAATCGTCAAAAATATGCCTTGCCGATGCTATACTAGTTGTAGACGAAGAAAAAGATAAAATTCAATTAGCACGAAATATAGTTGGGCGCCAAATTCAACATAAATTTAAAACTGTTTTAGAAAAAAATAGTGGTTATAAAACAATGCAGATTATTTCAAAAATATTGGAAGGACAAGAAGTGACAAAAGAAGGATTGCCAGAAGATTTGAATACAGATGATATCACTTTTTTCAAACATGCGCCAATCACATCTGTGGAAGTTGAAAGAAGTTTTTCAACATACAAAACTTTACTATCGGACAATCGCCGATCATTTTTATTTGAAAATATTAAACACACTTTAATCATTCAGTGTAACACATTTATTGTTTAAAAGTATTAATATAAATAAAATTTAAATTGTTTAATTACTAAAAGCATATTTAATGTATAAAAATAAAATTTATAATAATTATAAATTTATAAGAACCATTATGTAACATTATAATTTTGAAAAACGAATTTTTTTTAATATTTATATAATAATTTTTAATTTTTAAATAATAATAATAATCATTATTATTTTTTAAAGAAGTTTTTGGTATTTTTGTGGTCATTTTTTTAAGTCATTTTTTGATGTTTATAAGTCATATTAACATTTTTTAAAGATTTTTAGGTCATCAAGTTCCGGGCCCTAGTTATAACACACCAAGTAAAAATTTAAATACAGGTTAAAAATTTAAAAATAAAAACTACTTTTCACAAAATTATTTTGGCTTTTTAAAGGGTATTAACAAACCCAAGTAATGCACATTGTTAAGTTAATAAACATGTAATCCATGATATATGAATATTGTATGTCTCATCTATTTAAAATTTAAATATATTTTATAGGTAGGCACAATTAAAACAAAAGGTTTTGATGTAAGCATGTAGGCATGTAGCCATGTAGGTATTTTTGAGTATGGTAACAAGTAATATAATATGAAATAATAAGAGCTCATACGGATATTACAGATAGTAAAAATTGCAAAATCAAAATATTAAAATTCCAAAAACCATATTCCATAAAAATTAATAAGATCTCAAAACAATGTTCTTCATTATTATTATATATTACAAATGTACTTAATATTCTAGTTACCTTTAGCTACTTATACATAGATTTAAGAACCTACTTAACTTCTTAGGAATCTGCATAATATTTATACTACATAATATGATATTTTATGACTTAACACAGGATTAAAGTAATTCTAATCAAGTGAATTAAATATAAACAATAATCATAGGCATGCATTATGTTCTTGTGAATTTAAATTGTATCAAGACTAACTTTCAAAATTTCTTTTAGGGTGAATTTATGGTTTCATTAGGAAATGTCTGAAAAAATAATGCATGGCCAGATCTGTGAAATGGTTCTAGATACAATCTATGATAGAAATATAAAATACAACATGTATGTGAGTATTCAATTTTAAGTTGGTTTTTAGATTTGAGTGAAAACTTAAATTTATTTTTCTCTGGAAAATATTGATGGATTTTTTTAATGATACAGAATAATTGTTTAATAATTTGTTGATTAAAAAAAAATTGTTTTTAAAAGCAGTTAGCAAAATGGTATAAGCCATGAGGTCACAGAAATATATATTGGGTGTAAACAACAAATTAAACGGTTGTGAAATGACATGCAATTATTCAGATTAATGACAAACAGTACTTGAATTGGGATAAAATTAGTAGGATGTAAAAGAGTAAAAAAAAAATGTGCGTTCCTGAATATTTAAATGGCTTATCGATTAGGGTATAACTATAGGAGTACATAAATATTTTTTAAATGAAAAAGGGACATGGCTACCCTTCAGTTCAAGTACTGCTAACAAACATATTATGTGACATTCATTTGTAATAATATTATGGCTGTAAACATATTGTGTTTAGTTATTTGAAAGTGTATACAAATCAAATATAGATAAAGTGATGTGTTTGTTACTTATAAGTTATAACTTTATAAGTGTACATTGCCTGGTTAATTTGGTACAGCCCGGACGATTCAAACAGCGAAAAAAAAAACAAGTTATTATCAGTGCACATTTTTTTATTCAATTAATTATTACTAATAATTATTATACAATGTTGACGGGAAAACAAAAAAAAATAATCAATTTAGCATTAATTGTAATTGATTTATTTATCACCTGTTTATTATATAATAAATATTTTAAAATAATGATAATTAATCATTGATTTTTTTTTTTTTTAAATATTTTAGAACAATAATTATAATATTGATAATAGTTATATACCTGATATTGTCAGATAATCTTTGAAGAACAGCAGTACACAGTTTAGTAAAAAATTAAATGCAATTGTAGGAAAACGGACAGATTTTGAAATACCAAGTGGTATTCTAGTAATTCATCTACAATAGAATTCTAAATAATGCTTTTATAATAATGAAATATAATAAACTATTTATTTTGTATTTTATACCACCAATATTAGGTGTATATATTATTATCAATGTTTTAAAATATTCAGTTTTAATAAATAAGTATTAATAATATTGTATTTTTTTTTTGTTTTTTCTATGAAAATTATACAATTATTAGTAATAATAAAAACTTTAATAAAAAATTATCTGTTTGGGTCCATGATTCAAATTGCCAAGACAATGTGTACATTACCTGGTACATATTATATTATACATAGTCTCAACAGTGTTAGGTTAAAGACTTAAAGCAGAAATTAACATTTTAATTATATTCAACCTATTATAAATATTCATCGGTGTTTCTATTTGAAAAAACCATTGCAAATCTAGTGATTTATTTTCTTAATATCAAAATGTATACTACTGTAAAACAACTTATATATACATATTTTATGAAATAATTTTATTATTTTTATTTTTATATAAACCAACAAATAATTTTTTCATGTTTGTGATCTTAATATTTTAGTTTTTACTAATTAATAATTAATACATTGTGATTTTACTGTTTCCATAAAAATGATAAAAATTGTTATACTAATCATACATTTTGTAATAAATAAAATTACGTGCTACATAAAATAGTTGATACATTCTCAAAAACTATTAGTTTAACTAAAAAAAAATAATAATAATATCATTATTAAATCAATAAGTACTTCTTCACTCTTTTGGAGGGTTTGAAATATAAATAATAATATAAATAAAAAGTTTATTTAACTAAAAACGAATAAGAAGCCCTAAAAGTAATAGTACCACTAAAAGTATAAAAACATAAAAGCATACAGTAAAATAGTCTACCTAATAACATTTTTTAGTTTGAAATAACGGAATGTATCGTACAAAATAAACCATCCGATTAAGTCCAGCTCAATAATACTTAATAATATAATATTATTAACATATAATTATATTTATTTTAATCAAAGACCTTAATACTTTTGATTCATTTATTGAGATTTCAGTAACTAGATTATTATACCTCCTGTCTCTAGAATTACAAAAAACATATAACAAATTTTTGAACGATTAAAATTGATATACAATATTACAATTTAGTCACATATACATAAAAAAAAATATCCATAAATAACAATACGTTTTTCAAATGTAATACTATATTAAATAACTATTATAAATAGTCAATTATAATGAATGGAATATACATAAATCACGGTATAAAAATAAAAGAGAAACATGATGTTAATTTATTACTTATTAGTTAAGTACTTGTTGTATGTGATTTTCTTTTTGAATGTGTAGCTAAGGAAGACTGTTTTGAATTCAAAAATGAATAAGTTCGAATGATTGGTTGTTCTATGCTCGAATGTTGTAGAATCTTATAACAGTTTTCTAACGCGCACATCATTGACTGCGATGTTGCTTTTATTATTAACAAGTCTGGATCAGTATTCCTTAAGCGTGGACCTATAGTTTAAAATAAAAACAAAATTATTATTATTATTGAAGGAAAAAAACAAATTATTTTATTTCTATTAACATTCAGAATCATTTTGAGAATGTTGCCTGATTTCTGCCCAAAGTGAATATTTTTCCTTTTTCATATTCCAATTGTGGCCCGTATAAACTAGGTAAGGAAAACTAATTGGTTATTAAAGCTAAATAAATATCTCAATTGTCTTGCATAATATTATTTTGATTTAAATGGAATACAGCGCTCATGCACATGAGCTCTAAAAACATTTTGCGCAAATGGTGAGTCCATAAAAGATACAAATGCCAAAAAACTGAAAAAGTAGTTAAAAAATGTTGTGACATGGATAAGATTATGATTTTCCCTCTGAAATATGGGCTACAAAGAGGTATTGTATGTATTAAACAGCTAATGGATGTAGATGTTTTCATGCCAAATTCAATTCTTTTATACTAGTTTTAAACTTCCTATCCAAATATTTTTTATTTTATAGATATTTCAAAATAATGCCTAACAGATTCTCAAATTAAAATGCAATCAATAATTTGTATTCGTAGGAAAATAATAAAACAAATATATAAACAAAAGATTACACAAATTCAAATTGAAAAACTAAGAAACAATAAAATATCTAATTTTGTGTTTATAATTATCAGCCTGTAACATTATGCAATTTTTATTTTAATCTATTATTGCTCAACTAATAATTATACTATTGAGTTGTCTTAATTATTTAGTATCTTTTATTATATTTTTTCTATGATACTTTTTTGTATACATTTTATAGATACTTTTTTCTAATTTGACTAGGTATATATTATTATAATGTATAAATATTAAAAAAATTGACTATGTACTTTAATATATTATTGATTTTTTCATAAAAAATATGTACATTTATATTTATATTTATTTACCTATAATACTTTTTATTTTTATTAATTTATTATATTACTATACGTAATTTTGTGAATCAATTTGTGTTTGTGTTCAGGATACTTATTTGGGACGCAATAGAACTACCTGTGTTTGGGCATCAATCGGGCATCACCGCATTTTGATGACTGGAAAGATGATACAAAGAACAAATAATAGGTATTATTAATAGGTAGAAATAGAATATTAATGACTTTAAATGAACCAAACATGATAAATTAAAAATACTTAAACAACCTAAAAACTATAAAAATAAATTAAATTATTTAAAAATCATTTATATTGTATTAATTATTTAGTTGAAAAAGTAAGTAATTTAAAATGTGCATTGAAAAATGAATTGTACCTATGCATATAGTATTAAGTCAAAAATAAACAAGAAATTAATATAGCTATAAATGGTAAAATAAAACAAAATTAAAATTTGTTTATTAACTCTTTGAGGGGCCGTGGTTAGTATGCTAACCACTTTTTTTTTTACCGTTCAGGTGCGGTGGTTACTATTTTAACCACTTTTAAAATTATTTTTAATATTTTTTTGATGGTGGGCAGCATACCAACCACCTTATTATCATCTTATACATGCATCAAACAATATCACTGCCGCTGGTCTGAAATCATTTCCCGCGTTTTTCATCATTTATTATCATTATCAATATTTTGATATACGTACTAAATGTTATGGTAAAGAGACATAATATTGCCCACATGAGTCTTTTTTCCAAAGGAAATTTTCGCCCCTCAAAGAGTTAATAAAATGTTTGATAACCATTTATACATATATCTGTTAAGAGGATGTGATGACCACATGTGTTGTCTCCGTCGTACAAGTGCGTAACATACCAAATTTTAAGCTCAGCAGAACACGTGTAGCTACGTGGGTTTAAAAATTAGAGTGAATCTACCTCTTATAAAATCTAAAGGTAAGATTATTATCTAGGCAAACTCATAGGCTTTTTATTTAATTTTAAAGCGAGTTATGTGTATTTTAAAATTGTACATTTTTTGTACATCTTAAAATACTCATTACTCGCTTTAAAATTAAAATATAATAAAAAGCCCATAAGTTGCCTAGATAATAATCTTAACTTTAGATTTTATAAGAGGTAAATTCATTCTAATTTTTGAAAACTCTGTTAGTTACACATGTTCTGCTGAACACAAGATTTGCTATTTTACGCAATTGTAAGACAGAGACAACACAAGTGGGTATCACATCCTCTAAACAAACATAATATGTTAATATTAATATATAATAATATTATGTATAAATGGCTATCAAACATTTTATTGATAAATTATATCATATAAATCTGATAAACAAATTTTAATTTTGTTTTTATTTTAGCATCTTGCCCTCTTAAGGCGTGTGTATGTGTGACATATGAGCATTTATACTTGATAAACTACAACAAAATCCATCAAATAATAATAATAAATCTAAAAATTTACTTTGAATTCTTAAATTTAAGAAAAACCTCCAACAATTCATAAAAATTAAAAAAAAATTAACTATAATATAAATAAATTATATTAAAAAAACAATAAAACACTTTATCTAGGAATGCAAAAATTAAAAAATCAAATTTATATATTCTAAATCTATAAACATTAAATGAGCTTTTAGCTAAGATAGCATTGTATACGAGAAGGGGAAATAATGCAAGTCATTAATATCCAATCTCTATAAATAAGCTTAGCTAATTGGTTTGTTAGCTAGGAAAACGAGTAAGATAAAAAATACTAGCAGAGTAGTACTGTAATGTTTAATACTTAATAAAAATAACTATCATTGTTTGTTAATTAGAAATATTGTAGACTCTAGTAGACTTAATTAATATTTGATAAAAAAAAAAAATAGTAAATTTAGTATTTGGGTTTAATTTTTTTTTGTTAGATGTATTTTAAATACTTTTTACAATAAACATTGGTGTGGTCTCTTGACTATTATTAATACCTACAAATATTGTACACTATGATATATTATATAGAATTCTTGATATATAATAAATTATACATTAGATTTTAACTACAACAACTAACCTTGAGATGGTAACTTCTCTATGACTCGAGCCATGTCAATAAAATTGTTTTCAGCTTGAGATAAGTATTGTCGTGCGTTGGCCAATGATCTTTTAACGCCACTTGGGCAAAAATCATATACATAATTTGTTCGTGAATATTTTTGTACATTTTTCTATAAATATAAATAGAAAAGTAGTTACATCATTGATTTAAAAAATCATTTTAAAGTTTATTTAATAACATATACTTGGGAATGATACTCAGCAGCAGCTCTCAAACGATTCACCCAATCTTGTCTAGCTCGTGCGTCAACAGCTCTTAGCTTATAACATTCACCATTCCAAGAGTTCACAGAAAATGTATTTGAATCCTCATCACTTGGAGATACAACAGCAGATTCCAAAAAAATAAATCCCCGTGGTTGTTGCTTTGTATCATTTTCACTCTGCATAATAAAACAACATAATTTTTTTATAATAATAGTAATAGTAACAGCTTACATTAGTAATATAATTGGTTATAATAATATATGGTTTGTATAATCAATGGTAATAAGTAATAACTAATAGTTATTATTTTTCTACTACATTATATTTTGATAATTTATGACGTTGAATTTACATTTGTTTGGATGTATTAGTCTGTGGTATTAGTATAATTTCAATTGTTTTGTAGTAAATTAGTTAGCACATAGCATAAATGATAAATATTAATATGAGATATAGTAAATACCATTTGTTTGAAGGAAATTTTATAAATTATGAATCGATTTAAATAATAACTAGTAAGAATGTTGGCCTCATCCTTCAGAACAACATTTAAATTCAAAGTAAAAATGAAGATTTATAGGCACAATATTTTTTAGTTTTTAACCGTTATTTTTTTATTAAACCATTTATATAGACGGGTGCATATCTTTTTGCGAGTGATGTTGTATTACCAGCAAGTTATTTCGAATAGGTGTTTTATATTATAAAAAATAAGTCAGTTATACTTTAACCAGTTATATTTGTATGACTTAATAGTAAATTAATATTATAAATACACTAACAATGAAGCAAGTTGTTCAAATTTATTTTTATAAATTATATTACATAATATTAATAATTTTACTTAGTTATACACTTATATATACCATAAACACCTTGCTTTCTGAAACAGGTATTAAATTAAATTTACCAAATTAACTTCTGAGTAATATTAAAATTTTTAAATCAATAATGAATAAATTAGGGCCAAGCAATGTGCAAACAGTACGGCCCTCATGTAGTGGTTATACATGGAAAAAAAAAATCAGTATTGAATAATCATAGAGTAGAATTGGTATTTCTAGTTTTTAGTTTAATTACTCAGACAAATTATAGGTATTTAACTTTTAAGGTTTTGTTGTAATAAAATGTAATTGTGTCTTAAATGTAGTCTAATACTTAATGTTAATCAAATTTATTAATGACTACCTACATTGATATTCATTTTTTTTTATTACCTACCTATTGGAATTTTATAAGTATTTACCAATCAAACAATTGAATAGACATAATTATAGTTTGAATTTTTTATTGATACAAACAATTTTAATAGTGACAGTTTTGTTTATTATTCATCAACATATTGTAAGCCAATAACTAGCCAACAATCTCTAAATCATGTTTGAGAGTGGCCAATAGTAAAATATATTGATGCATTAAATATTTAGTGAACGTACATGCGACACAACATATTAAACCTAAATTCATAAAGTAAATCATGGCTTTTTTACAAAGCTACATAATTTCAAAACTGAATAAATGGGCATAAGTGTGTGTTAATATTAGGTAGTATATTGAATTGTGAAAAAATCAAGTGGTGTTAAATTTCGATAGCTTTAAATTTGGATGGATAATTGTTGAAATCAAAACAATATAATGGCATTGAAACTATTGACCAAGAAAGTGTAAGAAGTCTAAGATTTAAAAAGATAACAATCTAGATGGAAAACTATGTATTAAGTATACCACCATCAAAAGTATTATTACATAACAAAATAATATGTATGTCTTAGTAGCTTACCAAAAAATAACTTAGCGTTCCTTCTCTTGGGTCCACTATAAACCACCTGTGTTGCCATCCTTTGACCACATTTGTGTACTTGTACAGTTGTCCTTCTTGAATTTGTGACAAAAACTCTATACCACCCGTGTCCATTCTGTGCCAAACACGCTCGCTGTGTACGATCAGACAATATCAACGACGACTGACCGATGTCAATACCAGGGAATGTGAGAATGTGAACTTATAGACACCTAAAAGTCTATAACGATTTAACAATGTTAATATTACGATTACCTATTATTTGTTCGCAGCGACTTTTAAGCAATGACGGGCGTGGTGGGGCCTTACAGTATTGCGTAAGTACACTTGCAACAGTCCCAAGGTATTGCGTTATTAATTAAAACAGTTAAATCGCCCAACACTAATAGCCAAATATATTTTTTAGTATATTTTGATTTTTGACTAAATTATTATTGCCGTTAGCTGTTGTGTTACTTGTTATCGCAAATTCAGATTTCAGAGTTTCAGACATCTGATTTCTGATCGTGAGCAGCCTCGGTATAAATATTGTAGACGCCAAAACGATAACAACATAACAACGATTGTCTTATTCTGTGATAGTACGATACGAACGATTTGTGGCGCTTATCGGCCGTCGTCGTAAAAACAAAATAATACTGATAACAACTACAACAGTCAACATCATTGACATAATATATTAATAATATATTATATTTATATTATGTCAATGGTCAACATTCGCTATGCTTATGCTATCCTTATGCTCATGGTTCGTAATTTGTACTTCCTACTTTTCTGGTACCTACAAGTTACGACAGTACACCGTGGTAGATAAGTCTTAAAACTTACAAGTGTGTTCGGTTAAAGAAAGATTCGATGTGAAATTTTAATGAAAAAAGATGAGCCTGAAGAGTGACAGCCAACCGGGTACAACTACTGTGAAGTGATATTGAAAACAAAGTTTAGTGATAATCGATTTCATTTGGCGACAAAACAAAACATACAGCTTGGTTTTTAACATAGGCGTTCGCAGACTTTTTATACGAGGGGAGGGGGGTTGCACAATGCACATTATAAATTAGGGTCCGCAAGAATACCATTAGGTACGGGCAATTGTTTTACAATTTTAACAATTATTACAGTGGAAATTGATCAACAACTCTATCTAAATAAAAATAAGCATATTATGTATTATATTTAAACCAAGTAATGTATAGAAGAGAATAAAAATATGAACTTTATAAATATTTTTTAACGTACCGTTAAAATGATTCAAATTTTCAGTGAACGACTCCAATACGGCCAGTACCTTTTTGATAGAAAGACAAAGTTTTTGTTGTTTCTGGTCATTGGCAACTTTCATTAACAATAAAATTTAGCTTTGCGTTTTTGATATTCGGTACTTAATTTAAGGAAAGCTCCAAAAACTAAATACCCCTACCGTAAGTAATAACCCTGGTAATAACATTATTCACATACATAGTTCGATAAAAAAAGAAAACATCGAAAACTAACCAATCCATCAGGGCTTTTATTTAATAACTAGGGCCTTGGGTGTAAGGTCCATGGACCTTGTAAGCACGCTTATGGCTTATAAGATTATGTAGGTACCTACATAAGTTATTTAGGATTTCTAAATTCCTCAAAAATATACATTTTAAACATTTTTTGAAAATTGTAATAATCTAATGAATGGTAATTAACGTTAACTAAGAATCAGTAGATTTAATATTCTTATTGTAGCCGTTGTCATTGATTAGGTATAAATACTAATATTAAAATTTAAAATTAGTGTTATAAATTATCAATTTATTGCTTAACCATTATTTTTAGTTACCATTAGTTTTTAAGTAAAGTAGTTTCAAATTAAGAAGGTGTATGGACAGAATCGGATCATGCACTCCTCAATTTGAATTAATATCTGGTTGTTGTAATTATGAATAACAGTAGGGCAAATCACCGATGTTTAAATACATTTCCATATTTATATTGGTTGTTTGAAGAATAAGCTAGCAATTATTTATATACCTACCTATTTAATTATTTTGCAACATATTAATTATTAAGGCAAATTTTACAGTTTTTGCGTTTATATACTGAACATACAATAGGATTTCGTCAGTAGTCAGTTTATAATATATATTTTAGATTTTTATGAAATAAAGTAGGGAAAAAGAGGCAAACTGCAAAGAACACCTTTATTTTTGAATTATTATAAAATACTTAATGATGATTTAAAACAGATTAATTTAATGCAATTTTATCAATTATTTAATGCGGTTGCATTAACCAAGATTAAATCTTTTGTTGTAATCAATATCGAATAATGATTTTTTCTTAAACTGTCAGAATGTGGTGCAAAATAAAAACAGACAAAATAATAATATATTCCTATATTATGTAAAATATAAAAAAAATTAAAACATATAAGTACTTAGGTAAGTTAGAATCTAAAACTATTTCAGTCAGTTCCTTGAAAATAAAAACAAAGATTGGTTAGGTCAAATCCTAAGATTGGTAAAATAACTAGTTAGTACCTGGTTGCTAGTAGTGTTATAGTGCCTAGAATAATTATACCTAATTCACTTTTGCTCCAAATTTTGTTTCGTTATATTTGTAAATATAGCCTTTATTATAGCCTGACCTTAATTTGAGTCCTGCACGCGTACTAAGGTATTATACAGCCATACAGGACTGGAAACTATTTGCAAAATGATGGTAGACGACTCAGATCTTGCAAGTTGCAACACTTATATAGTTATATCCTCTGCCCTTCGCTCCTATAACTACTTATACCACCCATGACCCCTCCCACAGCTCCATTACTGATTACTCACACCAGCTATTTTCGTGATATTGTCGCTTAGGTATACATATATTTTACATTTTAAAAAATATCTTATACTTTCTACCTATTTAGTTCGATTTGTAGATTGAATAAAATAAAACTTTCCGTTATACAAGGAAATTATTTTAATTCCTGGTACCTACCTATTTATTTTATTTTAGCTTTAAACAATTATGATCAAATTTAAATGTTAAGCATCACAATATTAGGAGTATTGTGGGGATAAACCTATTTAAAAACATAAATAAATTATTTTTTTAGTGGGAGCATGTCAACTTAGGTAGGTAAGGTGAAGTGGGGTAACTGCGACGGAATTTTGAATAGTTCAACTTGATCTGTCAATTTCTCCTGAAATAATTAACTTAAAAATATGATGATTATTGCAATGTACTGATATGGAAGTGGTCTATCTAAGTACACTGTCAACATTATGTGAAATATCTTAAAAACATTTTTACGATTGAAAAAAAAAAAAAAAAAAAATGTCGCACTTGCCCCTTGACAAGGGGTAAGTGCAAAACGGACTGTTTAAAAATACTAATACCACTGTTATTTAAACGTGGGGTAAGTGCCTTAAACTAAAAATGTTTAGCTATAATACTACTTTTACAAAGCTGTATTTGTTCAAATATTTTAGAAATGACAGCTATTGTTATAATTACAAATATATTGTCACATTTTTATCATATCCTATAAACTATGAGCATCTCCTTACTTACATTTCACTTCACTCTCATATAAGAAATTTTAAGATTTATATAGTATTTTGATAAAACAACAATGCAAATATTTTCAAATACTTTATTAAACAATTTATGTTTGTATATACCTATATAAAAAACAAAAAGTTAACAAATGTCATAAGTACTTAGAAATAAATAATATGAAAATATGAAAAATTTTAGTAATAATTATTTAAATCAAATGCTTTAAGTAACTACTAAATTATTTTCATATATTTTATCAGACTTTAGATTACTTTTTTAGATTATATTGACTAAATGTAATTCCAAATATAAATTCTCATCCTTAAAATATTTTCTCATCCTTTTTTTATATCAGTTAAAATACATCAAAATATTAGTATAAATCATAATTAATAGATTAAGTATTAATATGATACATAACTGACATTGTATTAGAAAAAAACAATGTTTAGCTCAAGTAACTAAAATAATTAATATTAATTTTTAAAAGGGGCAACTGCGGCATGTCATGTCGCACTTACACATAAATGAATGTCGCATTTACCCCGTTGGTCATTTTACACGGGGGAAGAGCATAATCCGAATTAGCGAATATAATTGTATAATCAAACACGTAAATATCACTAAAAACCTAAGCTACACATAAAATTACACAACTTAGCTTATTTAGAAGCTTCCCAAATAAATTTGAATTGCCAAAAAAAATAATTGATAACAAGTCTACTTTTCAAAACGCGAGTGATATTACAATTGTTGATATCAACTCTGATAGCACGCAAACGAATAAACGTACAGTGTTGCAAATTAGATATTTAAGCTCCCACTATATTGTAGATTAATTTTCATTATTGATATGAGTGATAGAATTTATTTTTCCCACCATAATACTGGAAAACGCACTTACCCCAGTTAGGCACTTACCCCACTTCACCTTACCTATTATTTTGAGTTGGTTTTTAGAGTACCTACCTACTTATCTGCTCATGTGATAAGGTATTATAGGTATAACGTGTGCAAGTATTATTGTCACTACTCACTTGTCAGGGATGGTTATTATGGTTATCATAGGATAATGCTGCTAAAGATTAACGAGTTAATGTATTTAAGTTTAGTTAATTTTATTGTTTTAACATATCGACTAACATAAGTTTTAGGTCCCTATGTAGTTGAGTACGGAACTTATTAACTCACGTTAAATGTTAATGGATATGGAATATTGTAATGAGATAGTTTTGAATCGAGTATTAACTCTCAGTTAGGTTAAACTTTTATTAGTTTATGTTGATACTCTTATATATAGATGTGCCAGTAGTGTATGCCTATCATATACAGTATACTTGGCCTTTTATTTTGTTCACTAATTACTATTAACGTATAAAGCAAGTGGGTACCTATATAAACAAAAAATGCATGCCATGGTAATTTTTAATTTTAATTTCAATTAAATTAATTCTTACCATTTGATTGAACACTTAACCAGAAAAAATGCTTAGACCTTAATATGTATAGATATTGGATAATTTGAATGGTGTTAAACTCTTCTCAATATGTACCGAACACTCGCTCAGAGCCTCAGGCATATTATAAGGAAAGAGTTTTATAGGTATTCATATTTTAAGTAGGAACAACTCAATTTCACACTAAAATACTAAATACAACATATGTATCAAAATATTGATATAATTATTTATATATTTCAATTCATACATTTTGTTTCACATCATTTTTCCCTAGAACTTAAATAGGTAAGGTTAGAATCTAACCGTTAAATACCCATACCCATTTAATGATAAATAATTAATAATTATATGTATTATGATTATCGATATATTTTAGAATTTACATTTAATATTGTTTATAATAGGTACTTAATGATAACTTTCACCTCTGATTCGAAAAAAAATTAGCAATTAAGTAAGTAGAGATTAATCTTAATATTATAAAATAATATAAATTAGCCAGCCTTATCAGACAGCAAACGCATTGTTGATATCATCGGCACCGTTTAAATAGTTCTTGTCCAAGCGTATCACCATGTTCATACGCTTCCATATCCTGTAAATAAAAACGTGTTTCGAGGTGAATAATGGCGTACCTAAGTTATCGTATAGGTACCATTGTTTTTAAATTCATATGGTCCGGATTTATATGCAAAAAACTCGTATAATATGCAAAAAAAAAATCCCTTATCTTAAATTAATTTATAAGTGTAGGTACCTATTTATTTTTTTTTTATTTGTTAATCACTACTAAGTAGGTACGAGACATTCGAGCGGGCACTTACCACAAGCGCTGAGGCATTTTTAGGTTTTAAATTAATAACACAATATCATGATATTATTACAGGTACCAATATAACACTATAAAACTTTTAAATAAATAATAAATAGTTATAACAATTGTAAATTAAATGTTAATACGTAGAACCAGTCCTAAACCACTGGTTTTGATATTATTCACGCAGCCGCTGTTGTACCAATAATTACCTGACAATGACTATATGCCGGGTGGTCCATTTAACGTAAGGCCCTCATTATTTAAAAAAATATTAACTTTTTTAAAAATATATATTTACTCAATTTCAAGTCGTTTAAAAAATAATTTTTAAATAAAATATGTTTTACTATTTTTATTGTTTTAATTTAAAAAAATTTCCAAAGCAGAATTTTCTTTGGAGTTCTTTGATTTATAAAAATCAAATGTTTGACGAGTTTATGAGTTATAATTAATATTAATTAAAGTTTAGTTATGCTGAGTAGACTGATATACAGGAGTAGGTAGGTAGTTGGTACTCCGCAAAATGTGGTCCACTATCTAATATTTAAATACTTGCAAGTTATAACGAATAGGTAATAACTACTTGTCTGCAACTTGTATACATCAAAATACCTCGAAAATATTCTGCTATGAAAATAAAAACGATTGTGCCATTCAAAAGAGTAAAAACTTTATAAAAAATGACGATAAAAATAGAAAAAGTTAAAAATTTGTTTCCAAAAATGTTTTGTATAACGATTTAAAGTTATGTAAAAAAAATATTTATAAACATGTCAGTGTTTTCTGTAATAAAGAGTGTTGTACGTTAATGGATCACTCCATATATTATGTGCTAATAAAATCAAATTTTTTTTTGATAATAATAATTAGGAATCTTTCGCATGAAATATTATTATTTAAGTAAAATATTATAACAAAACAATAAAATCATAATTTAATATCGCGTAATCTAATATTATTTTGAATTACCTATACCTATTATATTTATTATTATGAAATGTGCAATACTGTACTTGGAGTATGAACTATGATGTTATGCGATTATACGAACATTTATTTAAGATTTTCAAATTTAATGCTCTTATGATTACTCATATAATACTTTATACTTCATATACTTTTTCTGACTTAGATAATTTTATACAATAGGTGAATATTTAAAGTTGGATGAATCTTTAGCTGACAGTTCATCAATTTCCTACCATACACTCATTATTTATTTTAATTTGTAGTATCCATGATAGTTTGAAAATATTTATAAGTTATAAGTTAAAGAATTTTAGAATTATTTTTTTAAAAACTGCTCTACACTTTACCTATGTAAATTACTTTAGTACAAAAAAGCTAGTAGGTATATAAAAAAAAAAAAATTGAGTTTATAATATAGACGGACCGTTACTTATACTTAGGTATCTATTTATTCAAAAACATGCAAAAATATGCGAGGACATTTTAGCGTTTGAATCTACATAATATTATTAATTATTATGAAACGTACCTACCTATATAGTTTTAATTCAAATTATTTTAAACCAAATATATAAAAGTATTTATGCATTTGCATATAAATCCGGGGACCAATAATATACATAGGTACAGCAGGTAATATTATAGGTATGTGCTATTTTTATATACTGACGATGAAAATATTACGAGCCAAAACCACAACATGGCAGCCATCGCAAACGTTATGATAGTCATGAGAAACCCGTTGGAAACAGAATTTTTATCATTTGTGTCTAGGAAATATTCAATCGTTTTCAATCCACAGGCTATGAGCACTAAACCCCATATTGCAACGAAAAAGAACATGACCGTGAACTGTTGACAAAAACCTTGGCAGGTTCTTCTCTCCCGCAACCACTATGCACAAACAACATATTGACGATGAACGATGATGATTATAACTTTTTGTACAATGATTGTAAACAATAGTAATAATAATATATGTATTAAAGTTTGTTTATAGATGTTTACCTAATGGATAATATTATAATGTACCTACGTATATTTTGTACCTATGTATAAGTGTATAACCATAAGGACCAATGTAACAGACAATTTCAGTGTAAAATACTAAAACTGTCAGATTTTCGTGATAGGTAGGTTCATATTACCACACTTGGTATTAAACATGTGAGTAACTACTAACTAGGCCTTTAAGTTGGGGGGCTGGACATTTAGCAAAATAAGGTATGAATGTATGATATTATACTTTATACAGAGTCACTCTTACACAGTTATAAGTTATAACACAACCACACTATTAATTTTTATGAATATCTAATAAATAAAACAATATTTAAACCAGATGTTACGTTCAACCGAAAAAACCACGGTTTGATTAGGTAAATAATAAATACTTTCCGTTTATTCGGGCTATAATATAATATAATCAATTTAATCATTTATAATATCTGTAATTTACTGTAATGGATGTGTTACATTTTAATTCAATGATGAATCAATCATACGAAAAACGATTCTGAGTGGTATCACAACATTTATGTAGATAGGTACAGTTTATATATGACACACAGTCAGAACTCTTGATAAATTCTATAACGATACGTCTGAATAATTTGTTTATATTGCTATTATAGTGATGAGGTAGGTTAAACTTATTTCTACCAAAAAGATCACATCATTTATTCAATAAGAATTAGTATGAGGGAAGGAGTGGCCGAGCGGACTAAAGCTTCGGTTGCGACGCGCACCGACGCCGGTTCAAAACCTCGGCCGCGGGTGGCATTTTTCTTCGGGCAAGTCACGGTGTCCTTAGAGAAGTGCCGCCATCCCCCACCAGGGCATGGGTTCCAACTAAAAAATCTGCCAAACTAACAAACACACTACACACGTGTTTAAACCTACGGTACCCTCCCTCACAGTTAAAAACCACCCAATAGCCTAAGTTGCCGAGGGTTAATTAATAAAAAAAAAAAAAAAAAAAAAAATAATTAGTATATAATATGGTTGTATCATATATTATAATTTATTATAAGTCATACTGATGAACCGTAGGTAGTACCCATGGTGTAAAACTGACTAGTTAAGTGGTGTAAAATAGCTTAAAATTAGTCTAAATATTTTTAAAATGTCATTCAGTATAAAGAATAAAAAAATTAGGCAAGTGGGTACCGCTCTGCTGTGTATTAGGTGTCGTGTGGTCCACCGCAGTAGAAGATATGTTAAATTTGAATTCAATGTTATAAATTCATCATTTTATAATATTATGACTGTGCAGTCCACCCCTGCATGTATCACGTGCTAGTACATATTATATACCTACCATTATTTACTGATGTTTAATCATACGAGCTTCGTAAAAAATATGTTTTCGTAATTTATCAGTTGTGATTAATTTCATTGTCGAATGATGAACGGTCACATGGATTTTTTTCGTTAAAATTGAAAGAATTAGTTTTTTCGTAGAAGAGTCAATACTTTTTTATGCACCTAACTATTATAATTTTCTCGGAAATAAAAATTATCGTGACTTTTTATTGAAATGTAAGAAAAAAGTGCTTATCAGAGTAAAATAAAAAAGACACTGAACAATATAGATAAAGTTCACTTCTTTCTAATAAAAGATACAAATAAATGTTCTACGGCCGTTCTATAAGTCTCATTAATAATGGAATACGGGACCGTGCATTAATCTAATAGATTCTCCCACATTAAAACTGATATGTCATATATTAATTACCTACCATTTATTTTAAAGTTAACAGAAATAGATATTAATTGTAATTCCAAAAATATTTTATGAACAATATTATCAATTGTGTAGTCATATAATCGAAGTGAAAATTAAACTTATTGTAGCTCGGTTAATTACAAAATTATTAGGTATTTTGTTTTGTGAACACTGATAAGTTACAAACATAAGAAAACAATCGTTCTATGTAATATACCTAGATATAGCTGGTAGGTACTTACCTAAATAATTTTTGTTTACACCGTAAAACGATTTATTAAATTAAACGAATAATAAAAAATAAAAAAAATAGAGAGGAAGAGACCAGTGGCATATATAAAAATAATTTTCGGGGCGGGATATAGTAGATAGAAACTAGCAAATGATATATTACTTAGAGGCTACTGTCTACTAAATATTTAACAGTTTCTATAAATATATTCGTATTTGTTATTTTTCAACAGGCTATGAAATATTATAACTTATAATAGTACCTAATAAAATATATTGTTATTCTATTTAAAAAGACTGTAATTTCGGGGGGGGGGGGGCTGCAGCCCACCCCCTATATACGCCACTGGAAGAGACACATAGGTACACACACACGTTGTAAAATAAAATAAAATTGTATATTAATTTGTTATAAATTATAGGGTGCAGGAATTTAAATTATCACTACATATAAATACCTATCCTAACCTAACATATAATAATATCATGTTCCGTTGGTTTTGTTGACCCTGATGTAGGTACCTGATGGGTATATGATACCTTAAAAATAAATAAAGTGGAAAACTGATATTAATAAAATATTATTATAATAACATGTTTGATGTTTTTCTTGTGCTTATAATTATAGGTACCTAGGTATATTATGATGGGGGAAGGACTGCCCACCATGGGTGAAGACGTGAAGTGCCCCCTGTAGTGTCGTGTTACCACACAAAAAAAAAAGTATATTATAATAGGTATGTTAGTTTACCTCGTGTATAGTCAAAGAACGTTCGATTGTCTTGAAAGTGTAACTGCAGATGTCACATGTACTGGATTTTGATACGGATAGCCATTGCTCGAGGCACGTCACGTGGACGTGCGCATGTGATCCGACACAGTTGCATGGCGATATTGTGTTTTCCTTCTTATCGTCTAAACAACATAAACGTCACAATGAGCAAATAATGAAAATATTTCATAAAATATAATATAGCTATGATAATCATCTGCAGCATCACTACAGTAAAACATTTAAGGATACTCGCTTGAACTAAAAAAACTGAAAGTGGGTCGTTTTTACAAAATAGGTAGGTACCTACTCTATGTAATATATTAATATGTGTTTAATGTACATTATGGTATACAACTTGATGCATTCGTTGTCAGTTTATTATTAATTATTAGTTATTATTATAATATCGAATGCAGTCATATTAACACAGAAGACATATATTATACAGAGTGATTCACAAAGCATGATCACCCATTGTTTTGCTTCAATAATACAGCTATTAAAAGTGTCTGTTTTTTGGAATTTTTAAATAAACTCCCAATAAAAACCATAAATATTATATTAATAAATGTATATTTTGAATAACTGCATCGTGTAAAAAAAAACAAGAGTGAACTGCTTGGTGAATCACCTTGTAGATACTTGGATATGCATGTATTATATTATGAACACAACAACAACAGGTGATAGGGGCCTATAATAATATTGTACGTTTTAGATGAAAAACATATTTTTTTTTATAAACGGCGTCGGCCTATATCAAAAAATAAAAATACATAATATTAGTGGGTACATTCATTCTAATAATTCGAAAATAGAAATTATAAAAAAAAAATGTTAATGAATAATAATAATACGTACCATTTAATTGTGTCCTGCCCCAGGCGAAATAAAAATAAAAAACTGTAAAACAGTAATATTCATGTAATAATATAATATATTATTAAAATCGGAACAACGACACGGTCTTTCGTAGGCCAGTACTGAACTTTTACCTAAGATTATACGCAGACGGACAATAATTGCAAATAATCAATATGACAATATCCGATGATCTTTGCTGATAAGTTATGAATAATAATCTATAACTATACGTATATGCGTATGTTAACTGCAGGGTTCGGATTTACATGTACTAAAAAGTAAAAATTTAGAAATACCTATGTTGTATAAATGTCCATTTATAGGTACAGCAAAAATGGCCAAACATGCTTGTAAAACCTTTTAAAAAGTATGATTTTAGTTTTAAATTATTACAAAACAAGTTGCACTAGTTACAGAAATATCGATTTGTTCATATATTTTATTGTATGATTATAATTTCCTAAATAAGTATAAGTATAATGCAGTAAAAAATAATATGGTGTAAAACTATAAAATAATCATTGGGTAGTAGCTGGTATTGTCAGTTTGACATTGAATTTATCTTTTTGCTCCCACTATAACCACTATATAGAATCGGAAGCAGTCTATATTAAAATGTTTGTATTCTCGAAATTTTTACGTTTTTTAAGTTGTTTTTAAGATACAAAATAGCGCGATATGCCATGAAAAGACCAAATACGACCTTATAATTGTTGTTAAATATGCCGTAAAAGAATTCATATTTTTAATCACACTTTCGTGAAAAATATTTCGTGCTTGCTTACGCACACTTACATATACGCAGTAAAAATTATTTCGAGCAAAATTTGTTTACAAATTGCATACAAATCTGAGCCTTAACTATAGGTATTACTAATATAGGTAGTCATATAGATTACGTCATTTTCCGCCAGGATTGTAATTATTAGGAACGTTTAATGTACTTGTAATAGCATTATGTTTGTTTTTTTTTATAATTAATTATTCAATAGTCGTTACTTGTTAATGTCTAATGTTATATTGTTACGAATCGTTATTATTACGATCATGTGTAATAATTCAATAATTTTTATTACGATGATTATGAAATGCGTCTGATTCACTTTCGTGTCTCATGATTAAAAAAAAGAAAAATAAAACTAAATGTTTATAGGTTTCCTCTGTTACACATAATATTGTTCATGCACTATATCCAATGATTTTATAGCATTGAGGACTTACATTGTTGTGACGAATATTGGAGAGATTATGCAGTAGATTGTAGTTAATGAAAATACTTATACCGCACTGTCATTCTTTCTGTTTCAAATATTTATACATTTATTGTGTATTTTGTACATTGTTATTTTAATAATCGGTTATTTTTTAATTTATTTGATCTCGATATAAGTAGAGTGATGTAATGTAATGTATATTATTAATTTGTAAAAATGTAAAATATATTGTGCAAACATTAAATAACATATAATATTATTACATTTTATTCACAGAACGACAGAACACGCTTGATAACCCAACTTGGTATTATATTTTGTAGGTGTTTATTTTCGAACAAATTTGCTGAAAACGCACCACTCGCGTACAACACGTGTAGATACGTGTAGATACGTGTAGATATGTGTAATTGTTAAACCTAACTATAGTTTATATTAATTTTTTTTTTCATATTATCCAATAATAATTAATAATATTAATAATTCCTATATTTTAATCGGGCATAAGTATATTTTAAATTGTGACCTGCAGATGACGTGTGATTTGTGGGATACAAGGCTCAATGGTATCTAACTCTTTTCAATTAATTTATACTTTCCCAACACAAATATCAAAAAATTGATGCCATTAGACATTTACAAATGATACAAATGATATATTATATAATTTTATATATTTCTCAAACAATTACTTTAATCACTTTTAAATTTATAATTTATTTATGGTTACTGTGCTTAAACTGTATTAATTATCTTAATGTATCTTACGAATTTCCGCAAACAAAATTTTAAAAACATATTAATTATAGGTATATTTTTTCATTGTATATTATGCTCTTATTTTGTGGACAAAATAAAAACGGATGTGATTAATAGATAATTTTATTTATGTTTCAATGTTGCTTAAACGATAATAATTTTTAGATATAAAAATATTTTGCGAGCGATCGGCTCTAATTTTACAGTATTGTTATTGGTAAATTATTTTGTTAGTTAAAATCCAAAAGTAACTAGTTAAATTAAAAGTTTAAATTAAATTACCTTTTAAAATTTTTAACTCTTCAGCCTTTCATATTCGTACATCAATATAAAAAATCATTTCAAGCATTTATATCGGTTGTTTGATATAATTAACTGTTATTTTATATTTAAATTTGCGTTTTATTTATAGTTATTGTAAATTATTGTCCTATTTTTAATTTTTGATTTACATTTTGGCCTCGGTATATTTTGTAAAAGTCGGTTTAGTATAATATCTATTGAAAAATAAATAATTGTTAATAATTCAAAGGTCATTTTTTTTTATTTTGGTTATTATATTTTGACTAAAATATGTTTATTATATTCTTAATTTTTTATTGGAGGAAAATAGTTAAAATATTTTTATTTTTTTCAGAGGAAAATGGATAGTGGTGAGGAAAATAGCATTAATTATTATTACTCAGTACTCAATATTAGTATAATATTCATATTATTATGTACATACCGTCGTAGCAAATGCGACACATTATCAGCTTGTCATTCTCGTCGCATTCGTCGATGTCCTGCGAGTCTCCTTGGCTGTGTCTCTTACTGTCGTCCGAAAACGGTTCCATCTGTACCGCTTCCTCCTCCGACCGTTGAACTTGAACGATGAACAAAAAAGCACAAGTTAAATAAATATATTTCAAAACATAGTTACTGTTACTTAGTATAATAGGTGATATAATAATGTATTGTCTGCGCCACAGGAGCCACGACTGCAGTGTGCTTGTTGTAACAATTATAATAGACGTCTATCGAAAATCGGCAAAAATATATTTCACTATTTTTTCTCAGCGTGAACACAACGCCGCCGTAAAATATTATAATATTATTATTATGTAGGTACCTACAAAATGCTTGTACGATTTACCGAGAACATGATATATTTCGCGGTCGCGTAGGTACATTGTAACATGCCCATAGGAAAAATAATAATTCCCTGAACCCGTTTGTTGTCACAGTGTTTAACACTTTTGTCATTATTATTACAATATTTTTCTCTCCTAGCTTGTCACCATAATATACAACTTTATAATACTGCTGAGTGCAGGTACCTTCAAATGCTGTACTAGGTATGTATCGGGTACTGTAGGTACCTATATGCTACAGTTTGTTTATTTATTTTATTAAACTGCGTTCGAACATAATATTATGTAGTATAGGTTGATTAAATCATTGTGAAGTTTACTAGAAAATAATACAATTCTAATAATTTTTAGGATGATTTCGTTAAAAATAAATTACGATAAAAGCTCAATGGAAGACCGTAAAAACTGTCTACTAGATAGGTATATAAAATATGTAGGTACATTGTTATAGTATATAGTATTATAGTACTGAATCGTAGTGTATCATTAATCGAATCTATAATAAATTGTAGTAATTCTTTATGGGAAGGTACGTATAAAAACAACTATAGAGTGATAGCCATTCAAAAAAATACTAAAAATGATTCTAAAATAAGATAATATAAATAAATGTAATGTCAGTAAAAAAAATATTTTATTGAGTTTCGGTACTTAACATAATTAAAAATAATCTTGCTTTTAAAACTGAACACGGATATAATACCAGACAAATATTTTAATCAAAGTACCAACCGTGCACAAAAAATTAACACAATCCACATACTTCTATACCTACTTATATATCGGTGCAAAAATGTACAATATACGTATTACCATTAGAAATTAAACGTAGTAACTCTTTCAAGATTCTTAAAAAAAAATTTAACTTTGCCTAGGTACTACAAGAACAAAATATAGACAGCCTTAAAACAAATGTATAGGATTATTGCATTATACCTATTATATTGATTAGATGATGATGCTAGTAATTATTGATAGTAAGTTAGTTAGCTTTATAGCTTTATAGTTTATACTATTGTGTCATTTAACTAGGTACCTACATGATTATTGCATAATACTACATTATATTATGTAGGTAAGCAAAGAAAAAAATATGCATTTATGTATAATGATGTTTTACTATGTGAACAATTTGTATTGTAAATTGTAATTATTTAATTTATAATAACTATTGGTTTTTAATAAATTTATATTTGAAATTGTGTACTCAAAGGCCCCCACACGAATAAATGAAAAAAATATTTATAGACTACATATTATTACCAATAATATAATCGTATAGATTTCAAGTAGATTATTAATATCATGCGACTATACAATTATTGTGATTGAAAGCCAAAACCTATATAGATATACAAATATCCGATATAGAGATTATGATAATATGTATACCTACTATTAAAGGGTGTCGGAACTGCTATTTATCAAGGGGTAAACTTCAAGCCATTTTCAGTTCCCTCCCCCCTGGAAATGTTGTACATTATTATGTGTATTATTTATTAATTAGTTGACGTGACTTAAAATTCATAGATGTAAAATATAAATAAAAATGTTAATATTGTAATCATATCTTAACTATAATGTTATAATAATATAGCCTATAGGTATACTACATAATATTATAATCTATTATGTAGTCAACTAAAATTATTATTGTATCCTTACTGAAAAAATTTAGTAACCCCACCCATTCCATATTTCTAGATCCCTGTCTTACGCGGTGCGGCGGCTATACAGAAGAATACAACCATTTCAACGATAATTAGAACAGTAGGATAATTATTAATTTTTATATTGGAAAATGAAAAACATTATTCAGGTAATCAGGCTGCATTGGATTACAATTACATTTTTTACTAACATTAAAAATACTAAAAATAGTATAATATATATAATTTTAAACTTCTATTCAAATTACTGAGAATGGATTTTAGATTCTGAGCGGAGCGATGAATGTATTGGTTTTACAATGATGTATGTTTTTATATTTTAGATTCTGAGCGGAGCGATGAATGTATTGGTTTTACAATGATGTATGTTTTTATATTTTTATTTATATTTTTATATATATTTTTATTTATATTTTTGTGTCTGTCATCACGTTTTAGGACAGTAAAAGTGCTTGGATTTTCTTCATCAGTAGCTTTTCTGATAGGAAAGTGAATCTAGTTGGTACTTTGGGGGGTCAAAAGTATAAATTTCGCAGTAGTTTTCACAAGCGCCGGGAAAAACAACACAAAAATTAAGGAAAAACGGGAATTTTTACGCAAAATTGGTTTTCCAAAAAATCGATTTTGGTTATTGGTGTAACTCTAAAACAAATGAACGTATATACATGAAAATTTCACTGGTTGTTAATATTTGCATTTTCTATACACGATAACATTTTCAAAATATTTTGATTTATTTTGAACTGTTTAGGGACATTTTCATTTTCCATTTTTTTTTAGTTTTTTTTCTTAAAATATCAATAAAATTTTATTTGTTGGTTGCGAAAGCTTGAAAATTTAATAGAAGGCTCCTAATATGTTTTTTCAAAGGCAGATGAAAAATATTAAAAATCCTTAGTCACAATTTTTTGAAGTTAAACTTCTTATGTGAGGGGTATTGAAAAAAAAGAGAGTGACGCTCGGGCGTCACGGACGCTCGCGCGTCACGAAAACGGTACGATGTTTTGTTTATAAAGTTTTTGATATTTTCCGTTTCAATATTTTGTAATCTTTTTGGAAACATATCATATGATATTATAAACAAACCAGTATAAACGTATAAACCATGATAAAATAACATGGTATGATGGCAACGAACTGAATATCGTCGGAGTTTGCGCATTTCATTGTATCCAGTTCTCCTCATAATGCACTATGTATATATATTGATCATGAAAACCAATGAAAAGCGGCGAACTGGATACAGCTCTGTATGATGGTCGGCGGGGTAATGGGTATGCGTATCATAAAGTTGCCAGCATACCATGTTATTTTATCATGGTATAAACAATATTCCGTAGTCAAGTTGATAAAAGCGAAAACGCATATATAATAAATATTCCAGAGTGCGTGATAATATAATATAATATAATATAATATACTATTTTTAGGTGAGTCAAATTATGTATATTCAAAATATAACTCGATGAATTTCATCATATTATATGACTATACTATAAGTATTTAATAAATAATAATAATAATAATAATTAATATTTAGTTAATATTTGACACATTTACAATGACCAACGCACCTATATTTTTCAAATAGTATATAATACTCTGATGGTTCAATTGTATAATGATATGACATAATTTGATATTACTCAATATATATGTCTATGGTCTATTTTCTTTCTTTTTCACCCACTCACGTGTACCATTCAAAAGAAGTTTAACTTCCCGCGCGCGTACTGGTAACACACATACTTTTTTTTTTATAAGCATTTAAAGTTCAAAAATTGACAAAATATGGAAAAATCACGAAAATTAGCAAATTATTTTGAGTTAAGAATTCGTAAAAATTTTTCTTTTTAAATCTAAGATTTGAAAATGAAACACAAGATTCCTTATAAGATTATCTACCTTTATCAATAAAAAAATCTCTACCGGACAGTTAAATTAAATTTTTATGAGCGTTTGAAATTCAAATTTTTACAACATTGGATTTTCACTCGATTTCTCATGTAGCGATTTCCTTATTTTGTTGTAATTCAAAAACGAATAACTGTAGATACATGAAAATTTCACTGAATGTTTATATTAGCATTTCCTATACACCATACAATTTTGAAAATATTTTGACTCTTTTTGAGCTGTTTATGGACATTTACAGCTTTCAATTTTTTTTAGTTTTTTTTTCTATAAATATCAATAAAGTTTTATCTGTTGGGCCAAAAAGTGTAAAAATTTAATACAAGGCTCCTGATATATTGTTACAATATCAGTTGAAAAATATTAAAAATACATAGGCACGATTTTTTTTTATAAGCATTTAAAGTTGGAATTTTGACAAAATTTATCAAAATCTCGAAAATTATCAATCGTTGGAATTAAAAAATTATAAAATGTTCAGTTTTTATAACTAAGAGTTGAAAATTTAAAACAAAGATTCTCTTAAATAATTCATACTGTAACCAAAAAATCTAAAAAATATATAAACACACTTATTTTTTACAGACATTTTAATTTCAAATTTAGACAAAATTTCATATTTAAACCAAGAATTACGATTTTAGTTATTTTGTTGTGATTGAATAATACTATTCGTGGGTACTTGAAACTTCTAAAGTGTACTATTATATATCTATGATAGTATCACGGTTTTTGTTGATGTATAACGCGTTATAAGTATCTAATGGATATTGTGATATGATTAATTTGGAATTTATTATAGGTACCTATTATAGGTCAATTTTTTGTTTAATACCATAGATATGTATATAATATGCCTTATACATAGACTGACATACCATCACCGCTCAGAATCGTTTTTCTTATACAATGATATTATATCATTGAATTCAAATTTAATACCATCCATTATACAGTGACCCACTTGTAACCTACTGTACAGCAGAGCGACACCCACTTGCCCACCTTTTTATTTATATTTTTATATTTTTATATTTTTATTTATATTTTTGTGTCTGTCATCACGTTTTAGGACAGTAAAAGTGCTTGGATTTTCTTCATCAGTAGCTTTTCTGATAGGAAAGTGAATCTAGTTGGTACTTTGGGGG